AAAATAAAATGTGACTGTATGTATCTAAGCAATATATTTTAGTGTACCAGTTCCATAAACAATGCACCTGAACCTACAGGAGCGTGTCCCTTTAACGTCATAATATCAAATGGTTTGTATGTATTACTTTCGAATATGGAACTATGTTACAGTGAGCCATGTACAATTAGCCTAAAATTTTAATGACACAGTCCCTGTTGTAATTAGGGGAAATATTATTCATGTATACGATAAAGTAATCTAACAAATCTGATTGCTGCAAACAAATCAAACAAATTGTTACAGGTATTGCTACATGCATAACATATGAGATCAAATTGGATATGCAAAGCACTGGTCATGTGACCAGATAAATTGTATCTGAATAAATTTTCAGTGTAAGTAATTGAGAATGAATAATATAGTAATTTACTATCATAATTTACTATCAGATTTATTAAATAAATTCAAAATTTGCAATCAATTTGTAATGGTCACAAACTTTATCATCTTTATGCAATAGTATCAAAACTCAAGTAAATTGCATGTTTCGAGTATCATGTGCATGCGTGCGTGATGTTCTTTCTAACAGTGTTTCAAAGAAACGAGTTAAGAAACTTTAGTTAATAATAACGAAGCATAAGTCAAACGTGAACGTGTACATAGTGATTAACAGACATATAAAAATGACATGAAGAATTCCTGTGACAGCTTGGAGGAAATCTGAGTCCCTACTACCTCAAGACCACAGTCTTTAGAGGAAATTCAGAAAGCAGACTGCCTACTTTCCAGTGGCAAATCACCTGGTTTGGACTCAATTCCATCTGAAGTTTGCAAGGAGGGTGATGTGGCTTTGGCTGAGAAGCCTCACCAGATGTTTTAACTCATCTGCCAGCACAAGACAAGGTCACAGGACTTCCAGGATGCCTCCATCATCCACCTCTACAAACCTAAAAGAAATCACCAAGCCTGTGACAATCATCGCGGAATCTCGCTGTTGTTCATTGCAGGCAAAATCCTGGCTAGAGATTTTCTCAATCGCCCCATCACACACTTCGATTTAATGCAACAACTGTAAAAATTTTGGACATACATTGATCATCATTGGAATTAAAAAAAAGAATGAAAAATGTATGTATCAAAGTGTTATCATTTGTTGACCAGCGCTATTCACTGGAATGCTTGCCCTGATTTGATTAACATTTCAAACATACACCATGACTGCTGTACACAAAATAAATTAAAGATGACTAACTCCATGCTCAAGTAGTAAAAATGCACAGAGCTCAAAAATGTCAGGAATTTGTGGCTGTGTTTTGTTAATGGCGTAAGACTAAATATTTACTTGCACTTATGTTATGTAGTGTAATTGAAAGGCAGCAATGAATAACCTCCATTCACCATATGTAACAATTTACATTACACGAAACTCCGCTCTGATGCTTTGTATTGTGTCTAGCTTTAGCACAGACCTTATAAAACAGGAATGCACAACACATATAACTTATGAAAAAGGTAAAAAGGTAACAACTAAAATGGGTTTCAGTTGTCTGCCATTTATAAGCATTAATGGGATTAACCTACTGGAGATAATAGATCTTCTACTACAGTTGAATAGCGGTTCCGGTGAATGAATATTGAATAGACTTGTTAAAATAAAAAAATCACTGTTCATAACAAAAAAAGATCAAAGAAAGCTTAGAAAGAACTCACATAGAATCATTATGACCATGAATAGTTCATTTTACCAGCAAAATGTGCTCTACTAAACAAAACAGTTTAATTAGACCAAAAATTATTTAAAAAAAATATTATCTCCCTCTCTTGTTGATTCATGCATGGTTAATATTATCTCCCCCTCTTGTTGACACCACTTAGGGATAATACTATCTCCCTCTTATGTTGGCACCACTCAGGAATAATATTATCTCTCTCTTATGTTGGAACCACTCAGGGATAATATTATCTCCCTCTTATGTTGGAACCACTCGGGGATAATATTATCTCCCTCTTATGTTGGAACCACTCAGGGATAATATTATCTCCCTCTTATGTTGGAACCACTCAGGAATAATATTATCTCCCTCTTATGTTGAAACCACTCAGGGATAATATTATCTCCCTCTTATGTTGGAACCACTCAGGGATAATATTATCTCTCTCTTATGTTGGAACCACTCAGGGATAATATTATCTCCCTCTTATGATGGAACCACTCAGGAATAATATTATCTCTCTCTTATGTTGGAACCACTTAGGGATAATATTATCTCCCCCTTATGTTGGCACCACTCAGGAATAATATTATCTCTCTCTTATGTTGGCACCACTAAGGGATAATATTATCTCCCTCTTACGTTGGCACCACTAAGGGATAATATTATCTCCCTCTTTTGTTGGCGCCACTCAGGGATAATATTATCTCCCTCTTATGTTGGCACCACTAAGGGATAATATTATATTCCTCTTATGTTGGCACCACTCAGTGATAATATTATCTCCCTCTTATGTTGGAACCACTGGGGAATAATATTATCTCCCTCTTATGTTGGAACCACTCAGGGATAATATTATCTCCCTCTTATGTTGGCACTACTAAGGGATAATATTATCTCCCTCTTATGTTGGCACCACTCAGTATCTTCTTATGTTGGCATAAATTCACTAAATTAAATGCACATGAACATGTAGAAACAACAATCGAACTCATTATCTCTGCTCCAAATTGATGAATTTGGTTTTGCAGTTTTTATTCAATGGTATGTCTCCATCAATGGAGAAAATAAAGTGAAATAATAAGTTGAATAATCATTTTATCAATTTTTATTGTACAATCACATGCAATACTTCCAGCTAAAATAAAGTATTTTACAGTATTTTTTCAAACACTTTCTGCAAATAAATCGTCGCCGCTGTTATAAAACTCATATTCTCTTATTTTCTCCCCATCACTAATAGCATCTTCTTTTTTATCTGTAATATTGTTGTGGTCTTTATTATCTTTTTCTATTTCATCTCCCTCATTCTTGTTTGTACTGGATAAGACGTTGACGGCTTTGTATATTTTGGACTTTGCATTCTCCGCTAAATATATGCAATTTGTTGTCATATTCAAACATGTTTTAACAACAGACTCTGTAAGGGAATAACACAATAAGTAATATATAGTAGAGATAAATATAGCTTATTGGAAGATTAGCTTAACTGTTTAGGATACATGATTAATTCACTCTGTAGAGAGACCTGGATTAAGAATTCAAAAAAAAATCTGGTGAAGTAATCCAAATTTAAAATCAGGCAATCATTAAAAAAAACAATTATTCAAAAATTGGTCTACTGAATTCAAAATCAAACTGTACAAAACAAATAAATGCATATATAGTATTATTATACATCTGTCATCGTAGTGCCATGAGTTGCAGCATGCCCTAATTTTGCGGTATTTTAAAGGGTATTTTCATCCTGCTATAATAAGAAATGTGAATTCAAAATATAGTTGGATGTATGTAAGCATCCACTAATAATAAAAACAAACACGGCTGCCACCACGACTGGACTCCACACTGTTTCTGTTATAAACTTTTTGGATTTTGGCATTCCCATGATGAATCGTTGGAAGGAAAAGATTATTACAAAGATACCTCAAAGAATGAACTAAGACAGTATGCCATAGCATCGACATCCGCTGCGCATCGGCAGTTACTCCCCCTGTACTGTCACCGTTCATACTTTGAGGTATCCTCATTGTAACCGCATATTAATGGTTGATTTGTACTTTTCTTTGTCCAAAAATACTAAAAAAAATTGAGCATGAATATATTGTAGTGATAAACCGTACATACCATCTTCAATTTTCACACAAAGAACATAACCACCTGCTTTTGTATATTTTTCCACCAGTCCACCATATATATATCTTCTGCTTCCCATAAATTTGTTTCCATTGCATTTTTGGTGATGGCTTTGTGTATGATTATGCCAGGCTGTATGTTATCATTAAAATGGCCTGGTCTACCTAAAAAAAATAAAATAAATAAAAAATTAAATTACTGTATGATTCAACCATGTATTCATTTCTTCATTGATTATTGCATAACCTGATACATTTGAGAAGATAGTTTTGTATATGGCCACAACTTAGAACAAGTCAAGTAGTTAAATCGAATTATTACATACATATAATATGTAAGTTTTTTACAATAATATCGACAAATATAACGGAGACAGCGTAGCCAGGAGCACTGCATTGTGGTTCACCTTCTCACTTATGGTAGCGGTAATGTTGTGATAACCTTATTATTATGCACTTCTTGTTTGCTTGTAGCAATAATTTAATGAGATATATAAGCCTGAAATGACTGCCTTGAACAAATTCTATTTGCATTATTTCACCACAAAAGAAAGTGTTTGAATATGATGTAAAAGTGACAGACAAGTTCTAAATAAAGATCAAAGAAAGCTGTGAAAGAACTCCCATTAAATATACATTAAACATAATTCGAAATTACTTGTACTTGAGATATTGATGGAAAAGCTGAAAACTAATTATGCAAATCAGAAAATTAATATAAACAGATTTGAGTGTAAAACTAATGAAGTCTGCGCAATGTAACAAATCATCTATGTACCAAGTTTTATTGAAATGTGATTGGAACCACAAAATTATGAATTATAATGTTAATTAGGGAATTAATATCAACAGATTTTTAACCCCAAACTAATTAGGTTTGTACATTGTCCTAGAGCATCTTTTTACAAATGTAATAAGTTTCATTGAAATGGAATAGTTTGTACTTTAGATGTCAGTGTGATAGCCTAAAATTGGTATGGTAATTAATATGTACAGATTTTCACCCACAATTAATTAGGTCGGTCTATTGTTCTACAGCATCCATGTACAACGTTTCATTTGAATGTGATGATTAGATATCAGTGTGAAAGTTGAAAATTAATTGGGTCTCTGTATAGTCCTAGATTCATTGAAATGTGATGATTAGTACTCGAGATATCAGTGGTAAGATGAAAATTAATTATGCAAATTAGGTAATTATTATGCACAATTATTTACCCTAACACTAATCAGGTCTCTGCATAGTCCTAGAAGATCTATGTACCGAATTTCATTAAAATGTGATGATTAGTACTTGAGATATCTGTGAAAAAGCTGAAAATTAACTAATTATGCAAATTAGTGATTAATATGCACAAATATTTATCCCAAACAATCAATCTCTGCATAGTCTTTG